TGATCCTGGAGCTTCATCAGATCTACTGCTGCAGTCTGGTACCTGGAGGCCTCGTCTCACAGGTACCAGCTCACTTCCTGCCTCCCTCTACAGCAGCAGCCATTCAAAATGTCCCAACTTTCCTTGGCTGGTCCTTGGCAGGTCCTTGTTGGGTCCTTGGCTGGCCCTTGGTGGGTCCTTGGCTGGCCCTTGGTGGGTCCTTGGTTGGCCCTTTGCAGGTCCTTGTTGGGTCCTTGGCTGGCCCTTGGCGGGTCCTTGGTTGGCCCTTGGCGGGTCCTTGTTGGGTCCTTGTTGGTCCTTGGTTGGTCCTTGGTTGGCCCTTGGTGGGTCCTTGGCAGGTCCTTGGCAGGTCCTTGGCTGGTCCTTGGTTGGCCCTTGGCTGGTCCTTGGTTGGCCCTTGGCTGGTCCTTGGTTGGCCCTTGGCTGGTCCTTGGCGGGTCCTTGTTGGGTCCTTGGCTGGCCCTTGGCGGGTCCTTGGCTGGCCCTTGGTTGGCCCTTGGCGGGTCCTTGGCGGGTCCTTGGCAGGTCCTTGGCTGGTCCTTGGCAGGTCCTTGGCTGGTCCTTGGCGGGTCCTTGGCTGGCCCTTGGCGGGTCCTTGGTTAGGCCCTTGGCAGGTCCTTGGTTGGCCCTTGGTTGGCCCTTGTTGGGTCCTTGGTTGGCCCTTGGTGGGTCCTTGTTGGGTCCTTGGCTGGCCCTTGGCAGGTCCTTGTTGGGTCCTTGGTTGGCCCTTGGCAGGTCCTTGGCTGGTCCTTGGTTGGCCCTTGGCAGGTCCTTGGTTGGTCCTTGGCGGGTCCTTGGTTGGCCCTTGGCGGGTCCTTGGTTGGCCCTTGGCGGGTCCTTGGTTAGGCCCTTGGCAGGTCCTTGGTTGGCCCTTGGTTGGCCCTTGTTGGGTCCTTGGTTGGCCCTTGGTGGGTCCTTGTTGGGTCCTTGGCTGGCCCTTGGCAGGTCCTTGTTGGGTCCTTGGCTGGCCCTTGGCGGGTCCTTGTTGGGTCCTTGGCAGGCCCTTGGCGGGTGCTTGGTTGGTCCTTGGCGGGTCCTTGGTTGGCCCTTGGTTAGGCCCTTGGCAGGTCCTTGGTTGGCCCTTGGTTGGCCCTTGGCAGGTCCTTGGCAGGTCCTTGGTTGGTCCTTGGCGGGTCCTTGGTTGGCCCTTGGCGGGTCCTTGGTTGGTCCTTGGCGGGTCCTTGGTTGGCCCTTGGTGGGTCCTTGGTTGGCCCTTGGCGGGTCCTTGGTTGGCCCTTGGCGGGTCCTTGGTTAGGCCCTTGGCAGGTCCTTGGCAGGTCCTTGGTTGGCCCTTGGTTGGCCCTTGGTTGGCCCTTGGCAGGTCCTTTGCAGGTCCTTGGCTGGTCCTTGGCTGGTCCTTGGCTGGTCCTTGGCAGGTCCTTGGCAGGTCCTTAGTTGGCCCTTGGCAGGTCCTTGGTTGGCCCTTGGTTGGCCCTTGGCAGGTCCTTGGTTGGCCCTTGGTTGGCCCTTGGCAGGTCCTTGGTTGGCCCTTGGTTGGTCCTTGGCGGGTCCTTGGTTGGCCCTTGGCGGGTCCTTGGTTGGCCCTTGGCAGGTCCTTGGTTGGCCCTTGGCGGGTCCTTGGTTGGCCCTTGGCTGGTCCTTGGTTGGCCCTTGGCTGGTCCTTGGTTGGCCCTTGGCTGGTCCTTGGTTGGCCCTTGGCTGGTCCCTGGTCGGCCCTTGGCTGGCCCTTGGCAGGTCCTTGTTGGGTCCTTGGCTGGCCCTTGGCAGGTCCTTGTTGGGTCCTTGGCTGGCCCTTGGCAGGTCCTTGTTGGGTCCTTGGCTGGCCCTTGGCGGGTCCTTGTTGGGTCCTTGGTTGGCCCTTGGTGGGTCCTTGGCTGGCCCTTGGTGGGTCCTTGGCTGGCCCTTGGCGGGTCCTTGGCTGGCCCTTGGTTGGCCCTTGGCGGGTCCTTGGCGGGTCCTTGGCAGGTCCTTGGCTGGCCCTTGGCAGGTCCTTGGCTGGTCCTTGGCGGGTCCTTGGCTGGCCCTTGGTGGGTCCTTGGCTGGCCCTTGGCTGGTCCTTGGTTGGCCCTCTGCAGGTCCTTGGTGGGTCCTTGGCTGGCCCTTGGCTGGTCCTTGGTTGGCCCTTGGCAGGTCCTTGGTTGGCCCTTGGCAGGTCCTTGGCTGGTCCTTGGTTGGTCCTTGGTTGGCCCTTGGCGGGTCCTTGGTTGGTCCTTGGTTGGCCCTTGGCGGGTCCTTGGTTAGGCCCTTGGCAGGTCCTTAGTTGGCCCTTGGTTGGCCCTTGGCAGGTCCTTGGCAGGTCCTTGGTTGGTCCTTGGTTGGCCCTTGGCAGGTCCTGGGCTGGTCCTTGGTTGGCCCTTGGCAGGTCCTTGGTTGGTCCTTGGTTGGCCCTTGGCGGGTCCTTGGTTGGTCCTTGGTTGGCCCTTGGTTAGGCCCTTGGCAGGTCCTTAGTTGGCCCTTGGTTGGCCCTTGGCAGGTCCTTGGCAGGTCCTTGGTTGGTCCTTGGTTGGCCCTTGGCGGGTCCTTGGTTGGTCCTTGGTGGGTCCTTGGTTGGCCCTTGGCGGGTCCTTGGTTGGTCCTTGGTTGGCCCTTGGCGGGTCCTTGGTTAGGCCCTTGGCAGGTCCTTGGTTGGCCCTTGGTTGGTCCTTGGCAGGTTCTTGGTTGGCCCTTGGCGGGTCCTTGGTTGGCCCTTGGCGGGTCCTTGGTTGGCCCCTTGGTGGGTCCTTGGTTGGCCCTTGGCGGGTCCTTGGTTGGCCCTTGGCAAGTCTTTGGTTGGCCCTTGGCGGGTCCTTGGTTGGCCCTTGGCAATTCTTTGGTTGGTCCTTGGCGGGTCCTTGGTTGGCCCTTGGCAGGTCCTTGGTTGGCCCTTGCTTGGTCCTTGGTTGGCCCTTGGTTGGCCCTTGGCAGGTCCTTGGTTGGCCCTTGGTTGGCCCTTGGCGGGTCCTTGGTTGGCCCTTGGCAGGTCCTTGGTTGGCCCTTGGCTGGTCCTTGGTTGGCCCTTGGCTGGTCCTTGGTTGGCCCTCGGTTGGTCCTTGGTTGGCCCTTGGCAGGTCCTTGGTTGGCCCTTGGCTGGTCCTTGGTTGGCCCTTGGCTGGTCCTTGGTTGGCCCTTGGCTGGTCCTTGGTTGGCCCTCGGTTGGTCCTTGGTTGGCCCTTGGTTGGCCCTTGGTTGGCCCTGCCCGACATGGACGCAGCGTCCATCAACACCAACCCAGCTGACAGCTAAGATTTTAGTTTTAAGGAAGTTCTTCTGTTTAACTGAGATCTGGTGAGTTTTTCCTTACCTGCTGCAGGCTGGGTGTTCATGCTCTGACTCTCCAAGGTCTCTAGGTTAGGTTCCTCCTCCACCATCATCCTCTGTTGTCTTTGTTCTCTTGTTCCTCCCTGAGGAGCTACTTCGTCCTTCAGCTCAGGGTGACGACCTGTCCTGGATGGGATCCTGGTGAAATGAAAATCTTGAACTCTGGAGGATAGAAAGGAAGCAGAGGAAAGATTGACTTCCAGTCTGAATGGAAATGCAGCTCAGATGCTGGAGATGTCATCAGAGCGCAGCGCCGGCTACTGGAACCAATATTTAAACCTCAGAGAACATTTTAGGTCAGGATGTTCGACAATAGCTAACACAGATCCACTGGTCTACATCTGTGCCCTGGTCAGGTTTTCACCGCCATGTTGCTGAATAAACGGCTAAAATTGGCCGCCGCCGTGCTTCAGCAGCCATGCTGCTCTGTATTAACACCGTGTGGCGGTGTGTAGGAGGTGCTGCTTAAGGTTCTGCCCTTCATTGACCCATTGGCAGAAAATCCATCCCTGCTTCTTACCCGTTTCCGTTTATCCTGCAAAAAAAAATATTAGGAAATGATGCTTTTCTACTCAGAATTCTTTGTGTTTAAAACATTTTTTCTAACCAAACACTGAAAAAGTCCGACCTGCGTTGATGACGAGCTTCCATTCAGTTGAAGGTTTTGGGTCCAGTTTTAAATCAGTTTCCCTTCAGTCGCTCTGATGCTGCTTCACTTCAGCTTCTTCTTCCCTTAAATTTTGGATATTTCTTAATTTTTGGTCTTTATTGATTTTATCGCCTCCTAACTGTTCCACCGGTGGGTCCTTTGTTGACCTTCTCAGTCTGACTCCCCATTTGAAGGCTGTGGTCTCCATCTTGCTGCCTTTATTTCTGAAACCTTTTTATATCTTAGATGTCCTCCAGGTTTAAACCTAACTTGGAACTATTCATCTATATCAGATGAGAACCACAGCCGCATGATGACAGCAACACCAGGAGGATGTGGGGAGGCATACGGGCGATCGTAGACTACCACCTCACTGGTCCAAAGGGCCCAGAAGCGCCATTGTCAAGAAACTGTCTTTTTCCGTTGGCAAAATGTCTGTTTTACCTCCTTATTCCAAGAACAAATGCACTTATTTTAAGAAAAAACTACTTATCTAGATTTCCATTTTTTCAAAAATACTGCATATTTGTACCAAATATATTAAAGCTCTGAACTTCCATATCAAAGCGCTTTTTGAACCATGTTTTTTCTCCCACACTGTTGGCATTTGATCACTGCTGCACTTTATGGATGGAAATGTCATGAAAGCTGCACTACATGAAATAAAAGTTGTCTAAGACATCAGCTCAGCTGGTTTATTTAATCTGTCTCTCAGCAGGAATTAGCCACGTCCCTCCTTCTTTGAACTAGTCCAAATTCGCCGTTAGCTTCCTCCTTCTGGCTGACTTTAGTCAGTATTTTCTTCTAACACATCATCAGGTCCATTTTATCCAGAATCTGTCAAATGTATCACTAATCAGAGCCTTCTGGTATAAAAAGCTGTTAGAATGTAGCATGTGTCCCTCAGCAGGGGGCGCTCTGGGGACATTTATGGAAAGAGTTTTAAGAAGCAGTGAAAACAGACATGATGAAGCCACGTCTGACTTGTTTCTATGTTCCGACGGGATGACTCAGCTGTTCTAGTCCTACAGTGTGAACCTGCAGCCATGCCTCCTCTGCAGACTCTCACGCCGTCTCTGCTGTTTCTCTGCAGACTCTGTACAGCTCCATCAAGAACGAGAAGCTGCAGTGGACCATGTGAGTGTTCAACACGCATGTAAACATGTCCACTGTGTACTCATTATACCCTGACGCTGCTATTTAGGCCTTTGTTGCCGTGGCAACTTCCTGCTTCTCAGCTCGCTGTAATTACAGGTCAGCATCCCAACACCCATTACTGCATGTTTGTGTTCAGCTTCTGTCCTCTACAGTCGTCTGTTTGCTGGTGGTGACATCATCTACATCACAGAGCTGAAACATCGAGAAGATGGATGATGGATGGATGGATGAATGGATGATGGATGGATGGATGATAGATGATGGATGGATGATAGATGATGGATGGATGAATGATGGATGGATGATGGATGGATGGATGCTAGATGATGGATGGATGAATGATGGATGGATGATGGATGATAGATGATGGATGATGGATGGATGGATGGATGATAGATGATGGATGGATGATAGATGATGGATGGATGAATGATGGATGGATGATGGATGGATGGATGATAGATGATGGATGGATGAATGATGGATGGATGGATGGATGAATGATGGATGGATGGATGGATGGATGATAGATGATGGATGGATGGATGGATGAATGGAAGATTTGATGGATGGATGGATGGATGGATGAATGATGGATGAATGATGGATGGATGATGGATGGATGGATGGATGGTGGATGAATGATGGATGAATGGATAATGGATGGATGGATGATGATGGATGAATGGATTGATGGATGAATGATGGGTGGATGATGGATGATGGATGGATGATGGATGGATGATGGATGGATGATGGATGAATGATGGATGGATGGATGGATGGATGATAGATGATGGATGGATGATAGATGATGGATGGATGAATGATGGATGGATGATGGATGGATGGATGATAGATGATGGATGGATGAATGATGGATGGATGGATGGATGAATGATGGATGGATGGATGGATGGATGATTGATGGATGGATGGATGGATGGATGGATGATGATGGATGAATGGATTGATGGATGAATGATGGGTGGATGATGGATGATGGATGGATGATGGATGGATGATGGATGAATGATGGATGGATGGATGGATGATAGATGATGGATGGATGATAGATGATGGATGGATGAATGATGGATGGATGATGGATGGATGGATGATAGATGATGGATGGATGAATGATGGATGGATGAATGATGGATGGATGGATGGATGGATGGATGGATGATTGATGGATGGATGGATGGATGATTGATGGATGGATGGATGATTGATGGATGGATGGATGATTGATGGATGGATTGATGGATGGATGATTGATGGATGGATGATTGATGGATGGATGGATGGATGGATGATTGATGGATGGATGGATGGATGATTAATGGATGGATGGATGGATGGATGATTGATGGATGATGGATGGATGATGGATGGATGGATGATTGATGGATGGATGGATGAGTGATGGATGGATGATTGATGGATGGATGGATGGATGATTGATGGATGGATGGATGATTGATGGATGGATGGATGGATGATTGATGGATGGATGGATGGATGATTGATGGACGGATGGATGATTGATGGATGGATGGATGATTGATGGATGGATGGATGGATGGATGGATGGATGATTGATGGATGGATGGATGGATGATGGATGGATGGATGGATGGATGGATGATTGATGGATGGATGGATGGATGGATGGATGGATGATTGATGGATGGATGGATGGATGATTGATGGATGGATGGATGATTGATGGATGGATGGATGATTGATGGATGGATGATTGATGGATGGATGGATGGATGATTGATGGATGGATGGATGGATGGATGGATGATTGATGGATGGATGGATGGATGATTGATGGATGGATGGATGGATGGATGATTGATGGATGGATGATTGATGGATGGATGGATGGATGGATGGATGGATGATTGATGGATGGATGGATGGATGGATGATTGATGGATGGATGATTGATGGATGATTGATGGATGGATGGATGGATGGATGATTGATGGATGGATGGATGGATGATTGATGGATGGATGGATGGATGATGGATGGATGGATGGATGATTGATGGATGGATGGATGGATGGATGGATGGATGATTGATGGATGGATGGATGGATGGATGGATGATTGATGGATGGATGGATGGATGGTGGATGGATGGATGATTGATGGATGGATGGATGATGATGGATGGATGGATGGATGATTGATGGATGGATGGATGATTGATGGATGGATGGATGATTGATGGATGGATGGATGGATGATTGATGGATGGATGGATGGATGGATGGATGATTGATGGATGGATGGATGGATGATTGATGGATGATGGATGGATGATTGATGGATGGATGGATGGATGATTGATGGATGGATGGATGGATGGATGATTGATGGATGGATGGAAGGATGGATGATTGATGGATGGATGATTGATGGATGATGGATGGATGATTGATGGATGGATGGATGGATGGATGATTGATGGATGATGGATGGATGATTGATGGATGATTGATGGATGGATGATGGATGGATGGATTATTGATGGATGGATGATTGATGGATGGATGATTGATGGATGGATGGATGGATGATGGATGGATGGATGGATGATGGATGGATGGATAAGGCTCTAGAGCAGCCACACTAACGCTGGTCTGTTGTTTTGAAGTGATGAAGAGGAGCTGAGGAAGTCCATGTCTGAGCTGGCAGATGTCCGAACAGACTCCGCCTCCCACACCATGAAGCGGATCGGGAGTGGTGGAAACCCTCTGGTGGGCGTGGCCCATCAGGCGGACGGAGAGCTTTATAAGAGCGGCTTCCTGGTCCGGAAGGTCCACGCTGATCCGGACGGAAAGAGAAGTACAGCTCCTCCTCTTCCTCATTTCACCTTCAAAGAATCCTGAAGAGTAAAAACCCTGAAACCTTCTTCTGTTTCAGCTCCGAGGGGGAAGAGGAGCTGGAAGACCTTCTACGCCATGCTGAAGGGCCTGGTTCTCTACCTGCAGAAGGTAACGGCTGGACTACATTTCCCATCAGCCCTCTCAGCTGTAGGCTCTGTCTCTGTGCTGGTCCTGATTCATCTTTTTGTCATGTAGTTCTCCATCTAGTGGTGAAACAGAAAGCTGCAGCTCAGTCAAATCAATTACCCTTTATTTGAAGTACACTTCGCTGCAGCAAACAGAAAGGGGCGGGGACGGACCGCTGTCAGTCTCATACCTTATATGGAAATGGGACCATTTCATTCCGGAACTGACGGGGGCGCTAGTGACACTATTTTCTGTACCGACCGTTTCATAATAATTATAATGATAATAACGTATTTTATTTGACAACGCCTTTCAAAATACCCAAGAACACTTTCAACATTAAAAATACTAATTAAACAGTAAAGAAAAGGCTACAAAACGTGATATGTCACGTGGCATGTCTGTCACGTGGTATGTCCCTTTTTTATTTTGAAATCTTTATTTAAAATTATCTTAGTAACAAACAATCTAAAATAAGCAACAATAAGGAATCATTATGGAGATGTATTTATCTATCCTTACATCCTATATATCTCTAACAAAAGTCATAGAAAATAAAATAAAATCAATATTTTGGAGACAAATGTACAGGTGCTGGTCATAAAATTAGAATATCATGAAAAAGTAGATTGATTTCAGTAATTCCATTTAAAAAGTGAAACTTGTATATTATATTCATACATTACATACAAACTCATATATTTCAGATGTTTATTTTGTTTAATTTTGATGATTACAAATGACAACAAATGAAAATCTCAAATTCATCATATCAGAAAATTAGAATATTGTGAAAAGGTTCAAAATTGATGGCCCCTGGTGCCACACTCTAATCAGCTAATTAACTCAAACCACCTGCAAAAGCCTTTAAATGGTCTTTCAGTCTAGTTCTATAGGCTACACAATCATGGGGAAGACTGCTGACTTGACAGTTGTCCAAAAGACGACCATCGACACCTTGCACAAGGAGGGCAAGACACAAAAGGTCATCGCTAAAGAGGCTGGCTGTTCACAGAGCTCAGTGTCCAAGCACATTAATAGAGAGGCGAAGGGAAGGAAAAGATGTGGTCGGAAAAAGTGTACAAGCAAGAGAGATAACCGCACCCTGGAGAGGATTGTGAAACAAAACCCCTTCAAAAATGTGGGGGAGATTCACAAAGAGTGGACTGCAGCTGGAGTGAGTGCTTCAAGAACCACCACACACAGACGTATGAAAGACATGGGTTTCTGCTGTCGCATTCCTTGTGTCAAGCCACTCTTGAACCACAGACAGCGTCAGAAGCGTCTTGCCTGGGCTAAAGAGAAACAGGACTGGACTGCTGGTGAGTGGTCCAAAGTCATGTTCTCTGATGAAAGTAAATTTTGCATTTCCTTTGGAAATCAAGGTCCCAGAGTCTGGAGGAAAAGAAGAGAGGCACTTCATCCACGTTGCTTGAAGTCCAGTGTAAAGTTTCCACAGTCAGTGATGGTTTGGGGTGCCATGTCATCTGCTGGTGTTGGTCCATTGTGTTTTCTGAGGTCCAGGGTCAACGCAGCCACATACCAGGAAGTTTTAGAGCACTTCATGCTTCCTGCAGCTGACCAACTTTTTGGAGATGCAGATTTCATTTTCCAACAGGACTTGGCACCTGCACACAGTGCCAAAGCTACCAGTACCTGGTTGAAGGACCATGGTATCCCTGTTCTTAATTGGCCAGCAAACTCTCCTGACCTTAACCCCATAGAAAATCTATGGGGTATTGTGAAGAAGAAGATGCAATACACCAGACCCAACAATTCAGAAGAGCTAAAAGCCACTATTAGAGCAACCTGGGCTATCATAACACCTGAGCAGTGCCACAGACTGATCGACTCCATGCCACGCCGCATTGCTGCAGTAATACAGGCCAAAGGAGGCCCAACTAAATACTGAGTGCTGTACATGCTCATACTTTTCATGTTCATACTTTTCAGTTGGCCAACATTTCTATAAATCCTTTGTTTTTATTGGTCTTCAGTAATATTCTAATTTTCTGATATGATGAATTTGAGATTTTCATTTGTTGTCATTTGTAATCATCAAAATTAAACAAAATAAACATCTGAAATATGAGTTTGTATGTAATGTATGAATATAATATACAAGTTTCACTTTTTAAATGGAATTACTGAAATCAATCTACTTTTTCATGATATTCTAATTTTATGACCAGCACCTGTACATTACATTAAGAGCACATTTATCCATCCATTAATTTTTATGAATTATCCTCAAGTGGGGTCATGAAGGCTGCTGACCCTGGACAGATCCCCAGTCCATCGCTGATTAAGAAAACAGATATAAACAAATACATGCTGGTGCTGAAGTTCAAATAATATATTTTGATGTTGTGAACGGTACTCTTAAAATAAATAAGTTAAAATCTAAAATATAATAGCCTTTGGCTTATTTAATAAGAACTAGATGGAAAAGAGGTTTGGTCTGTAAAACATTTAGTCGACAATTTTGGCCAACTTAGTACGTCCATTCACGGTGCACTTTTGTTGTTTATTTGCCAAATATTTTTTCTTATTATTCTCATTGTGAATATAATTTACAAACAAACCAAAGGACTTTTGAACTTTTAACAAGTGCCATTCGGTAACTAGAATATACTTGGTTGCAGGTGACCTGGCTCAATTATTATCTCCTATAAGGACTCCAGCTCAACTAGTAAACTGACTGGTGTCCCACTATTCCATTTAGAAATACCATATTAATTTTATCAATTGCAATAAATTCATGAACTGCACTCCAAAAACATGAATATCCAATTGTAGCAAAACCCAAAGTGATTAATTAAAACCTTAAATGTAGCTTCAACCTGGAAAGACTCGCACAGAAAGTAGGTTTTAGAAAGTTCATTTGACAATAATCTTCAACTTTCTGATCCCGGCAGTAGACACTGTACTGGTAACCACCAGAGAGAATGATCTTTTTTCTACATGAAAACCTTTTTGAATAAAGTCTGTCTTCATCTCACCTGCTCAGCCAATCACCTGCTCAGGTGCCTCCCTCCCAGCCTAACGGCGCCGGTCTCAAGTCCTTCACCCTTCATAAAGTCCAGCTTGATGTGTGCAACTGCTCCTCACCTGAGCTTCCATCACCTCCACCCTGATTACACCTTCGCTTTGCTCGTTTAATCTTATGTTTGTATCTGAACAATATGTTTCTGCAACTTATTTTTTATTACATAAAACAAGTTGATTCTAACTGTTAAAACATAAACAACTTGTCTGTATGTCAGGTTTGTAAAGAAAATTTGTATTGATTCCAGTCATTGTTCAAAAATGTATAGGAAACATTGTATATTGCAAGTTATTAGCTTTGCTTGCATTTAAAAATTTCCAATTGTTAAACAACGCTGTTACAATATATTTACAACTACTTTATTGGTTCTACTGTCTCTCCAACAAATTACAGCCACAATGTAACTTTGTGGAAACGACACCATTTCTATGAAAACTAAATGATGTAAATCAACTGAGCTACAACAAAAGGAACTTTCAAAAATGTAAATAATATTGAAAGAACACATTATGAAAAAGGAGGACTGCACAAGTCAAAAGGTAAATATTCTTTATCAGAAACGATTTCAAATGGCATGTCACAAAAAAAACTAACAATATGTGACAGATTGTGGAAAGCAACTTATATTTTCTTTGAATTCAATGTTGGCACTCAGGGCAAAGTCCAGGTATGCCATCACAGTAGTAACAAGGGTACTCTCCTCTCCTCTGCATCTGAAAATAAAAAAATAAACAAAATAAAAAACAGGTGCATTGCAAGACTGTAATACAGGAAGAATGGATGATACATATGATTATGAATGAATCTTACCTGTAAGATTGGCGGTATCCTTTCTACCTGCATGGTGAAGAGCATTAAACAATAATTAATACTTTATATCTCTCAGTATCTTATCCTTTCATCTCTAATGATATAAAAAAAGTTGTCCAAATAATGAATTTTAATAAAAAAAAATAAAAAAAAAATAATCATTTAGGGTTTTAGTCTCATTTGCACATAAAGATACACAAATCAAAATTACTAGTTATGTGTACATTTAAAAAATGAACCTCAATATGTGCCTCGGCTCCTTTGGCATAGGTGTGGTCATCAGCACACAGAGTCTGTAAAAATACAGATATGTTCTAAGTGAAAGATGAATGCAAATCCAAATAACATCAAAACTGCTTCAACCCTTTTAATTCTTCTATACTGATTTTCTTTCAGACTTAAAAAAATAAGCATAGAACAAAAGTACACTGTGAATGGACATAATACAAATTCTATGACTTAAAACAACAAAGTGATGAATTTTAGTTACAGCTTACCTCACATTTTGCCCTCTCATTAACTTTTTTCCGCTTTCTCTCCTTTTGTAGTTCTACTCTGGACCTTTTAAAAAGGACAAATTGAAGGTTCTCTTAAAAAACTGAATCTAGAAAAGCGTATTAATTTACTATGTGAAAAAAATTTTAAGAAGGTAAAATTACCTTTTGTTGATTTTGTGGGTTTTGCATTATGGATCGTGTGCCGAACACCAGGGCAAAAACTTTTCAAACTTCTTTCTTTCTTCTTCCTTTCCTCTTAACCCCGCGTCTTTAAGGCATTTATACTAGTGATTATGAAAATAGCGCCCCCTTCATTTCCGGAATGCAATAGTCCCATTTCCAAATAAGGTATGGGACTGACGGAAAGGTCCGTCCCCGCCCCTTTCTGTTTGCTGCAGCGAGGTCCTTCTCTTTTATTTTGATCTTGTTGCCATGGAGATAATGAGCGCAAAACGTTTTCCAGCTGAACATATTTCTGATGGAGATGTTAGGATAAAGTTAACACAAGATGGTGCCATGAAACCCATTTCTATACCATGACGCTCCCTCCTCCTCCTCAGAACAGGACGGGGAGGTGAAACGGGTCCATCAGAACAGGAGGTTCTGGTGCAGTGAGCTCAGAGGTCCAGCAGGGGGAGCTCCTGCTTCCTCCTGTTTTCATCATTTCTGGTTGATCTGGGTTCTTTGGTTGAACCTCTTCCTGCTGGGTGGGAATGAACAGAACCAGTTCCAGGTGCTTCTGGTTGATTCTGGATCCGTTTGTCCAACAGGACGAGTACCGGACGGAGCAGGAGCTGACGGAGGAGGACGTGAAGAACGCAGTGTCCGTCCATCACTCTCTGGCCATGAGGGCGGCCGACTACAGCAAGAGACCCAACGTCTTCTACCTGAGGACGGCCGACTGGAGGGTCTTCCTGTTCCAGGCCCCGTAAGTGTCTTCCTGTCGCCCCCTGCTGGTCAGCAGAGCGGCTCTAGAGCTACGCCATGCAGACGGCGGACATCAAGTTCCGCTCTGCAGACGATGGACATCATGTCTCTGTGTCCTCCAGGAACCCTGAGCAGATGCAGTCCTGGATCACCAGGATCAACGTGGTGGCGGCCATGTTCTCCGCTCCTCCGTTTCCGGCAGCGATCGGCTCCCAGAAACGCTTCAGCCGTCCTCTGCTGCCGGGGTCCAACACCAAACTGTCTCAGGTACGAGACCAGAGCTTCATCCGCCGCCCCGGTCCATCAGAACCGAACCTGACCCGTCTCTCTGGTCCAACAGGAGGAGCAGCTCAAATCCCACGAGAGTCGCTACAGGGCGGCGCACTCGGAGCTGACCGAGCTGCTGGCCGCCACGCCAGACAGGAAGGTCAAAGGTCGCGAACTGGAGGAGCAGAAGCTGCGTAAGGAGTACCTGGAGTTTGAGGTGAGCCGGATCAAGCTGGGTCAGAACCCGTCCTGAGTGGTTCTGGTGTTGGAGGGCAGCTGTGACCCGTCTGACCCGCTCAGAACCCAGAACTGATGGTTCCCATTAAAACATTTTAGTACTGGTTCTACTGGTTCTGCTGGTTCTGGGTGCTCACTCTTTGGGTCCAACAAATATTAATACTAGGCAAAGATAACCCAGACTGACCGGGACCGCATCAAGGTCCGAACGCCTCTAGAACCTGAAACAGAACCTGCCAGCAGGCTAAAGTTCCCGTCTGTTCTAGAATGAGAACCAGAACATCCTGCCTGTCCACACGGTGGTGGCGGTGTGATGATCTGGGTTCCTGGCTGCTTTAGGAGCATTGCAGCATGACCTGAAGCCAAGCTGGGTTCTGCAGCAGAACCCAAAGAACCAACAGAATGCGAAGGAGCGGCCTAGTCAAAGTCTGGGCTAAACCAGGCGGGTCGACTGTTTCCTCCTGCAGGTGGATGAGCAAAGTCTGTTAGCGTCCTGTCCTCATCAGCAGGCTCCTCCTCTGACACACAGAAATCCCACGCTTTGTGCTGCCAGTGAACGCATCAGAGTAGAACCAGAACCTTCTCTAACCGCCTGCTTCTCTCCTCCTGCAGAAAACACGGTACGGGACGTACGCCATGCTGCTGCGGGCCAAGATGGCCAAAGGAGACGACGACCTGGCCGCATTCGAGGCGCGGCTGTACAGCGACGGCGGCCTGGAGAGGGCGCACTCCAGCCCCACGCTGCCTCAGGACGCCGCCAGCAAGGAGAAGGCCCGCAGCGGCAAGACCTCCAAGAGCCTCAAGGTCACATCCTCCTCTTCATCTGTGATGAAGAGCGGCGTCAAGGAGGGAGGGGGGGGTAAGAGCGCAGGCGGGAACAGCCAGAAGGCGGAGCTTCAGAAGCAGAGCAGCAAACAGGAAGAGGCGGCGTAACGTTCGAACGCCATCAGAAGAAACGCTGAGACACTTTCCCTCCAGACGAGACGTTTAAGGTCATCGGGAAAACAGACGCTCGTCCAGGAAACGCTTTCAGCCGCTAGATTTCACAATAAAAGCTTGATTTCCTGTCGGTGGTTCCAGGGCAGCGTATGAAGAAGTTTTATTGTGGAAAACTGAGAGCGGAACGTTCAGGGTCACCAATGCACCATAGGAATTTAGATTTTCATCGTCCTGTCCTGATTCCTGCAGCAGACAGAATGTGAGACACAAACAAATGGAACCGAACAATCAGAATCCGACTCTCTGCTTCACTTCGTTTGTTTTGACTTTGAGTTCTCCTGGAAACAAACAGGAAGTACGGAAGCCTGTTGCAGGCAAAAAACATATGAAACACTTTTAGATTTGACCAAACTGCAGATCAGTCAAACTGCTGCAGAACCTTTGGAGCCTCGGATCCATGAACCACAGGAAAAGGAGGAGCAGAACCAGAACAGATAGATTGAGGATCTCTGGAACGATTGATCTAAAATTTATTCTGGAATTCTTTTAAAAAAATAGATTTTCTGTAAAATGAGCAAAAAAGTGTCCCATAGATCCTCTCTGCTGGAAGATGTTTCACTCCTTTTTTATTAGTGTAAAGGTTTGTGTTTGTTGCATTTAGGTCACGTGATGGGTGTCTGCAGTTCTCCTCCACTACCACTGGAGGGCGGCAAAGATGATCAAATATTTGTAATGAAAGTTCTGATTCGGTTCTGGTTCAGAAAAACATCAAAGGTTTTATTTCCTTGTTCTGTTTTGGCACCGAACCTTTTTTTCTGGACAGAACCTTCAGTTCTGAACGTAAGCGGAACCACAGAACGGAGCGCCTCAGTCACATTTCTCCCACAGCAACCCAGAACCTTCAGAACCAACGGTTTGGACCTGAGGCCGGACCGGTGTGGAGCTGAATTCTGTCGCCCCCCCCCGGGTCAAAGGGAACCGGGTCTCACAGTAGCAGCTTCCAGGTCTGGTTCTAACTCTGTCCTTCGTTTGTTCAGGAGACTGAGGCGGTCCGGGTTCTCTGGTTCCGACGCTTTCCTCCTTTAAACAGAACCAGAACCACGGCTGTAGCTCCGCCGGTCCGCCTCCAGGGGGCATTAGAGACACTGCTCCTTTTCCTACAGCTGTTCAGAACCAAACTGGGTTCTGCTCAGATCGCAGCAGAACTTCATTGTTTCTGTCCGGTTTGGCTGCTCTAGAAGTGGTTCTGAAACCTTCCTCTGCTGTGGTTCTGGTCCGGTCCAAACCTCCAGAACCCCTCTACTCCATCAGAACACTGCAGAACTCTACAGGTTCTGGTTCCCTGTAAATAAGCTGGACCTCCTGTGGAACCGGGCCTGACGCCGTCGGACCTCAGAACTCTCTGTGCTGCACATGTTGTAAATAAAGTTGGACCTGCCGATCCAGAAGCCATACAGCCGCACTTTGCTCTCACCCAGAACCAGAACATGGACCGCCCGCTGTGGGCGGGTTCTGGAAGGTCCGCTTTGCGGCGGTCCGACCCATGCTGTACATAAGTCACTTCCTGTGAAGGTCCGTTTCGTGAGCAGAACCTGTTTTTGTTCGTTGAGCTTAGAAGCAAAAATAAAGCTTGAAACGAACATCTGGGTCCGGCTCTTTATTTGGTTCTGGTGGGTCAGAACCAGCCCACAGATTCTGGTTTTAGGACAAACTTTATTCATTTTTACAACATCAAACATGTTTGTTGTTCTGCAGCTGACAGGTGAGTCAACAGCTGCGAGGTGCATTTAGGCATCAGTCAGACTGAAGACGGACGAACCGAAGGACAGAAAATATAAATTAAAGTCAGAGACACACAGAAACAGTTCGTTTCTGGTCAATTATTCCATCCTTTTATCATGACGACGATGATGATGATGATGACGGGTTAAATTGTCCAAGCGTTTTAGAAACACGTCTCTCATTTCGCAGCTCTTTGCAGTGTTTTGCCACGATTCGCAGCAGATATTTCTCCGGCAGCAGAAAAAACTGGCTGAAGGAAACTAATGGACAATCCTCGTTCACTGATTGGTCACCTCCTCCTCCTGCTGCTCCTCCATTGGCTGGCTGCTGAAGCCGCTGTCCACCGTGGCGTCTGATTGGACAGAAACAAGATCATGTTTAGACAAAAGCTCATCAGGAAAGAGGCTTTAAAAATGGTTTTACTTCCTGTTTCAGAAACAATCAGAACCGCAGCGATTAACTTCATCATCATCATCATCATGGTGATCAGAACCGATCGTGCTTCTATAAACGGATCTATGTTCTTAGTCTTGCGTAGTTTGATCAGACTGATGTTATTTATTCACCTTTCAGAACCAGTTCTATAGAAAATGGATCCGACCGAAAAGTCAGTCCCGTCCAATCAGAGGAGCGGTGCGTTCCGATCTGAGGTCCTGATTGGTTCTACTGCTGCTACAGTCTTTAATTGGTTCTGAATTTCCTAAAGTTTGATACTTTAGCAGTTTGTTCCCGTATGCTAATGCTAACAGCTATCCAGTCAGAATAAAAAATTATATACCCTTTCATGTCAGATAAGAGACTTTTTTAAATTAGCAGGTAATAAACATTTCTTATTTCTATACTGAAATTAATTTTATAGTTCTGATATTTAATGTTTTTAATAAAGCTTGAAAATTGTAATTAGCAGAAAATAATTAAGTCTTTTTGGAACTTTTCTATAATGTTTTCATTAATTTAATTTTATTTTATACGTAGCTCTGTACCAACTGGAACTTTAATTATATGAGTTAGCATGCTAGCTCGCTACTGCTAATGCTCCTGTATCCATTTTTTGCTATCAATGAGAGGTCTTCATTTATAGACCAAGTAGCTAAAGTGGGCTTATTAGCATTAGCATGCTGCTGTTTTGATGTATTCTATACTAGTTTGTAGTTATATATGATATTAATTATTTTTAATAGTTAGTTAGTTGCTAACGCAGTGCTATTATTCTGAACTGTAATGTGAGCATGCTAATGCTATAGTCATGCTTCATTGTGGTGAGCATGCTATTTTTTGGTCACAGCTGTAATCTGGTATTCTAATGTGTGTCAGGCTAACATTAGCACATTGCTACTATGCTAACGTTAGCTCAGTGCTGCTATGGTAACGCTAGCACAGTGCTCGTATGCTAAATTTAGCTCAGTGCTGCTATGCTAACGCTAGCACAGTGCTCATGTGCAAACACTGGTACAGTGCTCATATGCTAACGTTAGCTCAGTGCTGCTATGCTAACACTAGCTCAGTGCTGCTATGCTAACACTAGCTCAGTGCTGCTATTCTAACACTAGCACAGTGCTGCTATGCTAACGTTAGCTCCGTGCTGCTATGCTAAAGTTAGCTCAGTGCTGCTATGCTAACCTCTAAATCCTTCCCATCACAGTAAGGCCTCTGGCCCCGAAAGCTAAACGAATCCTTTCGTGTCATAAACTAGAGATAAATGTCCCTTTAAAGTGAACGAGTGGCTAAATCTGAAGGGATGATGGGATCTGCAGTCCTCCAGCCAGTGGAGAAAAACTACATCATGTTGTTAGCTAACTTGTTGTCTGTTCTTAACCTGAACCGACCGGGTTCTTGTTTAATATCCTGAACTCCTCAGTTTCTAGATGGTGACCTGGATGAATTCACAGGCCTTCAGAACCTTTAGACCCGGACCTGGAGCTTCATGTCTGCTGCAGGTTCTGTTCACTCTTCCTGGTCGGGTCAGAATTACCTGAGGCGAGTTTGTCGTGTCGCTGCTCCGTGTTCCTCAGCAGTCGGACTCCTTCAGTCAGACCCAGAGACTGCAGAGCATCAACCAGACCTTCCACCGGACCTCCACCCAGCTGGACCAGAGACAGACGGGTCAGTGTTTGGACCTGTGGAAACCCGACCTGGGTCCGGGTGTCCTGAGCGGCGGTTACCTTGTAGTGCTGCAGCAGGTTCTGGCAGGGGGTGGGGCTGTCCTGGTACAGGTGGGTCAGCGTCATCATTCCCAGCTTCTCGGCCAGCTTCATCCAGGGAACGTCTCCGACACTCAGGACCTCAACTAACCGGGACAGGGTGTCCTCGTCCAGCCCGGAGCGCTCCGCGTCTGCAGCAGCTTCACGTTAGACAGATCAGGGACACAAAGACCTGAACAGGTGAGACTGGTACCGACCTTCACTGCTGGTCCGGATCTTCTTGCCAGCGTGTCGAGACGCCTCTTGGCTCTGTCTGGAATTCAGCAGGTTCTTCACCTGGTTGGACACGAGACAGAGACACGTCCAATGTTTAGATGGAGACAGGGAGACGCGTCCCACGCTCAGATCTTTGGTTCTGCTGTTTACCTTCTGACAGGTAGCCAGGTCCAGAGGGGTGTGTCCTCCCCCAGGCCTCTTGCTGGTTGGCTGGCTGCGCTCTCCTCGCTCTCTGATTGGTTCGTCCTGCTCTTCATCCGAGGAGCTGAAGCAGAGCGGCTCGTCGTTCTCCATGTTCTTATCGGCACCTGAGGAGCAGAACAAACTTAGAACCTGCTGCTCTGTAGCAGGCGTCCCCCCCCCCGGTGTCCCCCCTCCCCCCGGTGTCCCCCCCTCCCCCGGCGTCCCCCTCTCACCTGCAGCCACCAGCATGGAGCAGAGCGTCGGCGAGCCCAGGCTGGCTGCCAGGTGCAGCGGCGTGTTTCCTCCGAAGGTGCAGGCGTTAACGTCAGCCTTCAGCTGCAGATGACATCACACGGCGTTAGAGGGAAGGTCCCAGACGGAAAACAGGCCCCGCCCCTTCCTGTGTGCTTACCTCGGTGATGAGCGTGCACGCCACCTTGAACAGGTTCTCTCTGACGGCCAGGTGCAGCGCCGTGTTCCCGCTCTTCTGCTCGGGGGCGTTGATCTTGGCTCCGCTCTCCACCAGCAGGCGGAGGCAGCGCTCGCCGTCCCTCCTGACCGCCAGGTGCAGCGGCGGCAGACCTGAGGGACACAGACCACCACAGCTCAGCGAGTCCGGCCGCTATCATCCAGTGGAGTTTAGGCTCCGCCTCTCACCGTGGTAGTCGGGCGTGTTCACCAGGTGGGCATGGCGTTCTCTCAGGTGAGCCAGCAGGAGGCGGAGTGAGGCGGTGTCTCCGGCCAGCGCCGCCAGGTGAAGAGGGCTGCGACCATCTTTGTCCACAGAGCTGGGGTCAGCCCCCGCCCTCAGCAGCATCTCCGTCACCTTCAGCTGCCGCGTGATGACGGCCAGGTGTAGGGGGGTCTGCGGAGTGGGCGGAGTTAGAACCCGGGCTCAGGTGAGCAGAGGTTAGGGTCCGGCTGCTGCTTACCTGCTGCAGGTGGTTGCAGGTGTTGAGGACGGCGTTCTGCTGGCTGCTCAGCAGCGTCTGGATCAGCTGCTGGGTGACTGAGCTCTGCTGGTGGATGATGGCCAGGTGCAGCGGCCTGATGGACACAGACCAGTTAAACCAGTCCACCGCGCTGCAGAACCAGCGCAGGGCGGGCGGGCGGGGGGGACTCACGTGTCTCCGTTGTTGTCCTGGACGCCGCACAGGTGTCTCTGCAGGGCCAGCAGGACGCGGGGGTCCCCGGTGCTGCAGTACTGCAGCAGGGCGGCGGCCGTCTGCCGGGCGCTCTGGGAGACCCGGTTACTGAGGCTGGCGGCTGGAAGACAGGGAGCGGGTCAGAACCGGAACTGGAGCGGCGGCAGGCCAGTTCTGTTCTGGCAGAGACTCACCGATCCGGATCAGCTGCTGCTGCAGAGCCTCCCCCTGCTGCTGGGGCGCGGAGCCTGACATCTGGGCTCCTCCCCCTGAGCTGAACCCTGTGAAGCCTCCTGTGAAGAAAGCTCCGCCTCCTGTTCCACCATTCATCTGCTGGAACTGGAACCCTGCGGAGAGGCGACCCAGTCCAGGTCAGAACCCCGGCTTCTGGACCTCAGCAGAACCTCAGCAGAACCTCTGAACTCCATGGAAGTCCGTACCTGCTCCTCCTGCAGCTCCTCCAAAGCCACCGGTTCCTGCTCCTCCATCTCGTCCTCTTCCTCCTCCTCTCCAGGAGTCGTAGTGAGGCAGAGGCTTCTGCTTCTTCCTCAGCACCTCCTCTTTGTCTGAAACGGAGCGGAGTTGATGGAACCAGCAGTGGGAGGGAGGGGAAACCCGGAGGGGAACCACCGGAGGCGGACTCACCTTGGATCTGAGGGATGTAGGTGAACTGTTTGGGGTCGCTGCTGTCGCCGGCCTTCTTCCTCCTGAGCTGCAGGAAGACGGTGACGGGCCGGTCGATCTCGGCGCTGTGGTAGGGCGGCGTTTTGAACACGATGGCGTACTGAGGACAGAAACAGGAGACGGGGAGGTGAGGGGGCGTCCTGGGTTCGGTTTGTCCCGCAGTGATGGAAAAACCCAGAAAACTCCAGCAGAGTGACTCAGTTTGACCTTTGGAGCTGAAACTTTCCCCATTTGATGCTGCAGGTGTTCTGGGTAAAACCGATTCTGGGTAACCGGGTCACAGGAAGCAGCGCTTTACCCGACCCGTCAGGATGTTCAGCTCAGACTGATGATGGTTCTGAACCCGCCAAATAATCAGAGCTTCCATCCAGTCCTTGGTTTCAGGCTGTTTCTCATTTCACAAAAACGCCAGTATGGACTCGTGTTCTCTCCAAGTCCGTTCTTGACTAGAACCCAGGAAAGTCTGGACTCGGGGAGAACGGGAGCAGAATAAATCTGGGTCATCTGGAACTGCAGCGTATTGATGACATCACCACATTTGAAGCTAATCTGGAGCTGCATTTCACCTCCTGTTATTATTAGTCTCTAGATAATAATGGATTATGACTTTTTTCATTTATTGGGGGAATAATAATGAACACAGTCAGATAAACATTTTACCAATTAAAACAATCAAACCTCCATCAGTATATCGGTATTTCACGCACGGCAATGCAGAGAGAGGGCCGCTGCAGACGGGCTAACGTTAGCCCAGGCCGCTGCAGACGGGCTAACGTTAGCCCTGGCTGAGGTTAGCCTCAGAACTCCACTGGTTGCCGCGGTCCTCTCAACATCAGAATTTTTTTTAATTATATATTAAAGCTTAAAGTATAATTTTCTCGCCTCAAATGATCCTAAAAAGTACTTTTATTGAACAACAGCAACAGAAAAGAGAACTTTTAACTTAATACTCTGAGCTCTGTGAGCGGTAACCTGGAAGCTGCTGCCGCAGTGCATGCTGGGACAGCTGTCAGTCTGGAGAACAGACCAGTCTGCTCTGATGCATGCTGGGTAAAGAGGGAGGGGCCAGAAAAACATCAGGGGACTTTGTCTGTTCTTGTGAATTGGAACAGCACCAAGGCTGAGGGTGATGACGTTTCACGAGGACACGAGAACGCACAAGTACACAGAACATAGTGAGAAACAGCCGCAGCCTCCCTCTGCTGGAGGATTCTGTCCAATCAGAGCCCTGCGTACAGAGAGCCACGCCCACTCAGCAGAGTTCACCTCCAGGTCAAAACTGTTCAGGTTCTGTCTCTGGTTAAAACAGTGAAGTTACCGTAGCAACCGGTTTCTGCCCAGTGGGAGCTGAAGGAGTTCAGCTGTTTTCAGACTAAAACAGGAAGTTGATCCATGTAAGACTTTCAGAATAAAGGCAGCAGATCGTCTTCGGATTCAGGCTCTGGACCGAACTACAGATAAAGTGATCAGACTCATGATGCGTTCCATGCTGCTCAGAAACACCGACCTGTTTGTGAACGTCGGTGGGTGAGAAGTCCCCGAACGCCTCCCAGCACCCCTCCTCGTCCTCCTCGTAGAACCGGATCTCTATGTCATCTGAGGAGGAGTCATAGACAGTTCAGAACCAGACCGCGGAGAAGGTCTCCTCCTGTCGGAACGTCTCCTCACCTTTCTGCACTTTGTCACACAGCAGGAAAACCTCGTCTCCTCCCAGGACGGAACCGCAGGTCCGATCCATGCGGGAGATCTTCAGGTTGGAGGCGTTTGGAGACTCTGCAGGAGGAGCAGGAAGCAGATGAAACACCCAGGAGGTCCAAACCGGTCCTCAGACATCAACCTGCTAAAGGTTCTGGTCCGTTTCTTTTCCTTCCTAATATCAGTGGCTCTCTATGTGATGCGTTCACTGACCCTCAGGAATCTAATCCTGAGATGCTGTGGGTCAGTGAAGGCAGCATCATTCTGGACTCTGTCCCGCTGTGTCCAGCGGTGCTGCGGGACTCACTGCTGTCGTAGATGGGGTTGGACACCACGTGTTTCAGCGCCCTGGTGAAGCCGCCGTTGCTGTCCTGCAGGTAGGCGGTGAAACGCAGGCGGACGATGTTCAGGTCCATGGCCTTCCCCAGCTCCTTGGCCTCCTTCAGGACGTCCGACTCCTCGCCGTCTGTGGAGACAGAAGCAGGTGAGCGGTCTGGGCGGGGAGGCCGGGCGGCAGCGGTCCAGATGTTTACCTGTCAGGGAGCAGTGGATCCCTTTCTGCCGCCGCCGCTCCTCCCTCAGACGCTTGGTCAGCACCTCCACCACGCCCCTCTTGGTCACATGGAGGATGCCCAGGTTACTGAACCTACAGGAAATGACATCACAGCCCATCAGAGCTTCATCGTCACGGTAACCTGGGAATATTGTCCTGATTGGACCAGAACCGCCTCACAGCCGTTAACCTGAGCTGCTCTGGATCCACTTCCTGGACCTCAGAGAAAGTTCTCCACTTCCTCTATTCCTGGAAATAAAAACGTTCCGGTTCCGCTCCAGCCAGACGCCAGGAAACGCTTCGGTTCTGACCCAGTTCGGTTCCAGAGAGCCTTCCTAACGCTAACGACTGTGAGGTTCTGATCCAGTCAGAGCGGATCCTTACGAGGCGGTGAGGTCGTTGGGTCCGATGTCCAGCGTACAGGTTCCGTTCTCGTTGCAGTGGCGTCCCACCAGGCTGTGGGCGTGGACCCGGGGCGGGTCGGTGTGGGTCACCAGCTGGACCTCCACCCGTGCGTGACCCACATAGTTGTTGATCTGAGGACAGACGGAAGCGGGATCAGACAGGAGGACGGACAGGGCCGGCAGGGCGGCTCTGATTGGTCGCTCACCTTCACGGTTGGGTAGGTTCTGCGGTTCTTCTCGCTGGAGGCCCCTGGGAGCCCGCCGTGGGACGGACCCTCACACTCATAACGGAAGCGGAACCCTCTCTGGAACAACAAACCAAGACGCTCAGCTTCCAGAAGTCCAGGTCTGCTCAGGTGGAAACCCCACCGGGCGCGAGCAGCAGCTTCTGACTGACAGGTTGACCTGTGACCTGGAGCTGCTTCCTGTTAGTGAAGCAGGCTGCTAACAGGAAGTGACACGCTAAGGGAAAACACCTCCCTCATCCACGCTAGCTTTGATTTTTATGATTTATGTGAAATTCCCTCCAGTTTCCCACCTGCTCCTGAGTCAGAACCAGAGACAGAACCAGTCAGAACCAGAGACCAGAATCTGAACAAGAGTCTGAACCCGAGTTAGAATCAGAGTCTGAACCCAGTTTAGAACCAGAGTCTGAACCAGAGTTAGAATCAGAGTCTGAACCCAGTTTAGAACGAGAGTCTGAATCAGAGTCTGAACCCGGTTGAGGACCATAGGCTGAACCAGAGTCTGAACCCGGTTGAGGACCATAGGCTGAACCAGAGTCTGAACCGGTTTAGAACCATAGGCTGAACCAGAGTCTGAACCGGTTTAGAACCAGAGTCTGAACCGGTTTAGAACCATAGGCTGAACCAGAGTCTGAACCGGTTTAGAACCAGAGTCTGAACCCGGTTTAGAACCAGAGTCTGAACCCGGAATAGAACCAGAGTCTGAACCCGGAATAGAACCAGAGTCTGAACCCAGTTTAGAACCAGAGTCTGAACCAGAGTTAGAATCAGAGTCTGAACCCAGTTTAGAACCAGAGTCTGAACCAGAGTTAGAATCAGAGTCTGAACCCAGTTTAGAACGAGAGTCTGAACCAGAGTCTGAACCCGAGTTAGAACCAGAGTCTGAACCCGGTTGAGGACCATAGGCTGAACCAGAGTCTGAACCCGGTTGAGGACCATAGGCTGAACCAGAGTCTGAACCGGTTTAGAACCATAGGCTAACCCAGAGTCTGAACCGGTTTAGAACCAGAGTCTGAACCCGGTTTAGAACCAGAGTCTGAACCCGGAATAGAACCAGAGTCTGAACCCGGTTAGAACCAGAGTCAGAACTCTGGACCCGTCTTCTGGACTGATCAGCTTCACTCATCATAGATCAGGACCTTCAACAGTTCTTCCATGTAGAAACCATCCTTTCCCTATTTAGCTAAAGAATCAGCTATAATCTCTCTGGATTATCGTCAGATAATCAGAATCTAATCCCACATTTAATCGAACATCAGTAAATAAATTATCGCTGTAGATAAAACTACGTCATCAGCAGAGAGTGCTTCAGCGATGAGCAGGCTGCTGGGGGACAGTCCGTTTCCATGGCAACACGAGGACCAGAATCCCAGTCTGGTTCTTAGAAACGTTTAGTTTGAAAGTTCAGCCTTTGAAGCGTTTTCAGGTTTGACTCCTGTTTCTAGAAAATAAGCTCCTAAAACAAGTCATCATCATCATGAAGAACACCATGGACCACATGACGGTTCTGGTACCAGATGGTACCATGGTGGCGTTTTAGGGCCCAATAGAACCGAATAGAAGTCTCACCTGTTTGGGTTCCTCGATGATCTGGATGTACGGACCATGAGCTGAAACACAAACACAGATGGGATCAGAACCCCTGAAGCTTTAATCTGAGTCAACCTGGAAGGTTCTGGACTCTCCGGTTCTGGTACCATCATGGGGTTCTGGTAAGACAGATGAGTTCTAGAAAGTTCTGCTCAGGGGATCTTCATCTCCAGGAATGAGGAAGGTTTTAGAAAGCGTCCTCCTGGAACCTGAGGTTCTGATCCCAGAAGGTCAGGAACCAGAACTTCAGAAGATCCAGTCCCAGAAGGTTTCACCAGAACCACAGAGACCAGGACCAACAGGGACTGAGAGGAGGAGATAAGGAACCGGGTCTTCAGAACCAGAACCTGTAGAAATCAGAACCGGTTAGCGGGTCGGGTCCGGCTCACCTGTCTCCTTCACGTACGGCTCCATCTTTATGTCCATCGGGGTGAAGTCGTACGGCAAGAAGTTAGAAATCTGCAGAAGAAGAGAGAAGCATACGTCATCGGATCAGAACCACATGTGATCAGAACCGGAACTGATTAGACCCGTTTAGAACCGAGCTGAATCAGAGCCGGACTGGATCAGAGCCAGACTGGATCAGAACCGGACCAGATCAGACCTGATCAGAACCGATCTGAACCAGAGCCGGACCGTATCAGAACCAGACTTGATCAGAACTGAAATGGATCAGAACCGGATGAATCAGAGGCAGACTGGATCAGAACCGGACAGGACCAGATCAGAACTGGACCATGCCCCAGTTCTCCTGAGGTTCTGTTTGAAGTGAGTTCTGTTAGAGGGACAGCAGGACGGGTTCTAGACAGAACCAGAACTTCCTGCCCTCTGATGGATTGCTGCTCCATCAAAGCCTGGAACCAGATTGGTTCTGAAGGGAAACCTTAGTGGGTCAGAACCACCTGTCGGTTCTGGAGCTAAAACCCATCTGGCTGCAGATGTTTGGGTTCTTAATGAGTCGGGTTTATTCTGAACCGGACCTTTTCAGATCGCTGCCTTCAGATGTTCTGAGACGTCAGAACCAACCAGACGGACTTGGACCTGGAAGAACCTGCAGAACTTTAAAGGAGGAAGTTCTGCTGCAGCAGAGCCTGAAGGAGACGCTGGGATGTTCTGGTTCTGCTGCAGAATGGTTCTCTGGGTCAGAACCTTACAGAACCTGAACAGAACCCGCTGGGTTCTGGGCCAGCGGGTTCTGTTCAGAGCAGAACTTCTGCCTGTTTGGAGCCGATCGTCTTCAGACGAGTTAACATGAAAACCTCTGAAGCGTGACGGCAGGAAACATCTGGAAACATCTGATCGTTGGTTAGAACTCTGAGCAGAACCAAACAGCGATACGACCCGATTCGGTTCTGGATCTCAGTCTGGAAATATGAGAATAAAACAGATCCAGGTTCTGGTTCTGAGGAGCAGAACCTGGATCAGAGACTCACCATTTCACTGTCGTAGTTCATGAACGGAGCTTCCGTCATCCTGCAGAGAACACAGAGACACAGCAGGTCAAAGCGGGTCGACTCGGGTCCAAACAAAGCCGGCAGTCAGAACCAGCAGAGCCCAACATCCAGCTCAGCGCCTCCCTCCCTCCCCCGTCTGTTCGCAGTCACTTCCTGGAAGCGGCCGGCGGCAGGAAAACCCCCAGAATCCCAGAGCAGTAGGGGGCGGAGCCTCCGTGCTGCTGATGATGTCATCCACTGCTGCTATGACAACAGACGGCCCAGCAGAAGGAGGACTGACACAGGAGCATCGCCTGGTTCTGCTCATCCACCAGAACCGACCCAAACAGACTGACAACAAACCAGAACCAGGACCAGAACCTGGACCATCAGGCGGGACAGATGGTCCAAAGCTTCAGAACCAGAACCAACCTGCAGCAGGCAGACAGAACCAGAACCGACCCGTTCTGCTCTCCGTCTGCTTCCTCCGTTTCTCTGGTGGTTTCTGGGCTTCCTGTCGCTCTGCGCTCAGAGAAAAACCCGGCCGGGCCTGAGTCAGAACCCGGCCCAGGCCTGGTTACCCCCCGCCGCCGGGACGGCCCCCTCTGAAGGCACCGGCCAATCAGAGGAGAGAACACCGGACGGGGAAGTCGGCAGGAATTCACAGAGTCGGTTCTGTTTCTGTGAAACCCAGAGAGGAAACCCGTCGTCATGGCAACGCCTCTGCAGCACACGTGTTCTGGGTCAACTGGGTCTGCGCTGCTTTGGAGGCCCGGTTCTGACAGCCCCAAACTGTTCCTGTGTCCATGCTGATCTGGTTCTGACCCGGTTCTGAGCCATTCCAACGTGTCAGGCGAGGCCAGAGGAGTTCTGAGAAGATCTGGATCTTCAAACGCTGCAGGAGGTTCTGATGGTTCTACAGGTGGTTGGACCGGACCTCAGCATCAGTACCAGAACCTGAGCAGGTTCTGATGTCGCTCAGAGGTTCTGCAGGCTGAGGCCGACCCGGAGAACACGCCGGTTCTGAACGTCAGCTCAGAACATGGACCACAGGGTTCTACACAACCCAACTGGATCTCTGGTTCCGACCCACCCCCCTTCCCCAGCCTGTTGTTCTGGTTCCCTCCAGAACCGGGCCTGAATGGACCGCCTACCTCAGAGCTCCAGCCATGACCAATGATGATGAGGAGGAGGAAGATGCTCCTTTCCTGCAGAAACAAACAAACAGAATCAGAACCGGTCCAGAACCAGAACCCCCACTGGTTCTAAAACACCTCCATCCGAACCAGAACCAGAACTCCCTGGAGGAACCAGGGACCCCAGAACCATCTGGATCCTTGGGTTCCAGAACCGCCAGGAAGTTCTGGTCCCAGGACGGGAAGCAGGGGCTGCAGAACCAAACATCTAAAGGATTCTGGATCAGAACCGAACCTCCGGAACGTTCTGCTCTAACAGAGAGAACTGGACGGAGCCAGTCCTGAAGTTCTGGTCCAGTTTCTGCTGGTTAATCTGTGAGAACCAGGATGAGTTACTGAAGCAGAACCGGAACCGCCCAGCTTCTCTCCGGGTCAGAACCGAACCTTAAAGGCTCGAACTTTAATCCGAGCTCCGAGTTTCGGTTTAAACATAAACCAAGTTGACCCAACTGACCCGGTTCCGGTCCAGGTTCGGTTCTGCTGCGTTTCAATCAGGTATAAAAAGGTTTTTACCTGATTTCTTTCTCCGAGACTCTGCGCGATTCTGCTTCCAACAAAAACTCCCGACTGGACCCAGAGAGCAGCGCGAGTCACTTCCGGCTCAGGATTTTCAAATTAAAGCGGTGGGTTATTTCCGTGTCTGTGTTCAGCCGCAGCCCGTGGACAGATGATCAGATGAAAGGAGTGCTGGCCTTGTGCTTAGGGCATAGAATCCAGAGGTTATGAGTTCGAGTCCCACTCCCACAGACTGCCACTCTGGGCCCCTGAGCATAGACCCTTAACCCCACACTGCTCCCCGGGCGCCTCACCATGGGCTGAATCTGGACCCCAACGTCTGCATGGGACACATTTTATGCTTTTATTTTGAAGCCACCCAATGCGCCGGAAATGTGCTTAGCAGCAGTTTGACACCCTCTGGGGCGGTAGTCATGGTGACCGCAGGCTGACAGCAGTGTCGGAAATCCCCGAAGCTGAGGGGAATTCCGGAGCCACGGCGGGAACACGGTCAGCTGATTGGTGGAAAGTTAAGACCCGCCCACCGACAACCGGAAATAGATTATAAAAGAAAACATGTCAAATCAGAAGAATACTATCTTTTACTTAAAGGAAAAATTGGAATAAAAACAGGATTCCAACTTAAATCATGACGTTCTGATCATAATGATCCTTTTTATTTTCAGAAAACACACAGACCATGAGTATGTTTTATTTTATTAGAACTTTATTTCACTTTAAAACATCCAGACAGAATAAAAAGCAGAAAGAACCTGAAAATAATGCAGCATTAACCCCAGCTCCATGAAGCCGAGCAGCTTAGAGGCAGCCAACAGGGGGCGCTGTGGCCACAGAGCAGCAGCAGCAGAACCTCCTGGGTTTGCATAGATCGAACTACTCTGAATGTTCAGAACCAGGAGAAATCAATAAAAAACGGATTAATTAATCAGCAGCTGATTGTTTTATAATTAGGGGAGAGCAGGGGCCCTCTGGGACCCGAGTAAGACCCCTGACTACAGGATCCTCCCTGAGCGACGGGTTGAATGAAGGGGAAATATATTAGGAATGTATTTTATTGTTAATCTGAGGAGAAAACCAGCAGCAGATCATCTGGTCTTCATTTGGTTCTGGTTCAATAAAACGAGGTTTAGAACTAAACGCTTCATTCCTGGTTATATTCAAATAAAAATAAAATCTCATTCAGCTCATAACTTTAAAGGGAATCTATATTCTATATTTCTACATTCTGGTTTTATTTACATAAACATAATTTATTGTTTTTCTATTAAAGGATGCATTTGGTGTTTGTTGGATTATTTAACCTGATTCTTAATAACGGTTCTGATGCTTTGGTTGTTCTGGACTTTTGGCTTCATCAGAACTTCTTTGGTATCGTCGACGTTTTAAAGTGCTTTTCAGAAACTTCTCATTAATCCGAGGTTCTGGAGAGTCCAAACATGGCAGAAACCCGGTCCAACCGGTTCTGGTCTGGGTCCGTTCCAGCAAAGCGGCGACTGGAAACTGAACATTTAGGAGTTTTGGACCTTCAGCCTCACAGACGGTTCCATAGGACCTTAAATCTAGAGAAGAACCGGTCTGAAGCTGCTTTTGGACCGAACCGTAGAAACTAAGCAGCATAACTTAAAGCAGAGGAAAGAACAGAGACAGAAAGAACCTACCCAACGGACCAGGAGCGTCTGGTCCTGACTCAGCAGACAGCTCCCCCAACCAGGTCTCAGCTAGAACTACAGGGGGCCAGAACCATGTGGGGGTCCAGTGGGACCGTCACAGTTCTGTCCCTGTCCATCTCACTGAAGCTGAACAGGAACAAACTGCTCCTCAACCGCCGCTGGTTCTGGTTCAGTTAGTCTTCACCAGAACAGAATCAGTATAAAAAGGTTAAAGTCAGAGTCTCAGAGGAACCGGCTCAGCTGGACCCGGTCCACCTGGTTCTGGCCTCAGAGTCATTTATGGTTCTAAGATCTCTGGTCTGTAGCTGTAAACTGTGAGGAAGAGGAGGAATGAAGGAGAGCTGATGAAGGCAAGATAAGAACTGCCCGGACCTGGAAGCTTCAGACAGGAGAACCAGGACCAGAACTCCCAGATCCAGAAGCCTCAGAGGCCGGAAAGAGGACTTTAGGTGAAGATGAGTCCAGAGTCTCTGTAAACCTTGAAGATCTTCTCGATGGCGTTGACGTAGGCGGCGGTCCGCAGGTCCAAACCCAGATTGTACCGGTTGGCCGTCTGCATGATTTGCTGCAGGAAGAGGAAACACAGCGACTGTCAAAATAAAAGCTTCTCAGCTGTCATTGCAACAGGAAACGCCTCCAATCAGCTCCTTCATAGAGCTATCATTCATAGAGCTATCATTCATAGAGCTACCAGAACCATCCGCTGCCCCTCGGTCCTCCATCGGACCCAGGTTGGCTTCCAAAATGCACAGAGGTTCTGGTCCAGAAGAGATGTACCGTCTCTTCTGATACACCAGGACTCTGGGCTGTTGAGGTCTGATCAGAACCACCATGTCTGCTCTGCACTCCGTCAGGTATTATAATACACAGCTAATATGCTAATATGCATTGTTATGCTAATAATACCATTATTTATTGCTTTCGGTCGTCTCTCTTTTATTGATAAACTTGTTAAGAAATTAAAAGTTAAACTGAGCTTCTTTAGTAATAAGACATGTTTTTCTTTCAGAGTAAAAGTGTCTTGTCTCTGCCACGTTTTTATCGGTCTTAGATTATGGTGACCGTTTTTATAAGAACTCTTCTTCTTCATGTCTTCAAATGTTGGACTCGGTTTCCCATGCTTCATTAGGGTTCATCACAGACTGTAGAGCCATGACATCACTGGTACCTGTCCTCTCTGGTGGGATGGCCTTCCCTCTCTACCAGAAGGCAGTGTCATTGCTACACTTTTATTCCCGAGGCCCTTCTTGGATTACTGCCCTCTTACATTTGTACCTTCCTTCCCCAGTAAAGCCTGGCTTCTTCTGCCCTGAGATCCACCATCAGCTGTTGCTCTCTGCTCCTTTTGCCAACAGGGCGGGGTTTAAGGAGATGCAAACTTCCACCTCCGCTTCGGGCCTAGGGGTCTGGGCTTCTGTTTGGGTCGGTCAAACCAGAACCCACCAGAACGCAGAGTTCTGGAAGAGAGTGAATAAGAACATGTTCTGGGGAAGTGTCTCTAAATGCGAAGCGATGAATGGCAGAGATCGAGTGGTTCTGGTTCTGTTGGGGTTCGACCCTGACGTGTCAGAAAGGAATGACTCTGGTTCTGCCATGATGGCCCCCGTTCTAAGAACCCCCTCAGAGAGGCTCTCTGGGTCAGAAAGAGAAACCATCAGGTCTGTTTCCTGGCGTCTGTGTGCTCCTGAGTGAGGAACATCTCTCTGGTTTTACCCTCCCAGTGAGAACTGGTCCTCAATTCCTACTCAGAAACCTGCTTGGTTTATTGTTAGGCGTGTCCCAGTAACGGTTAGCGTGTTAGCCTGACCGTTATGCAATGAGTGAAATGGAGTTCTTTCTGTAAACTGACAGACCGTAGTAGCCATGTCTTTGTCCAAATACGTCGTCTCCTTTTCTTTTTAGGGCTTTCAGCACAAAACTGCACAAATATCCAAGGCAGCGCGATTCACTATAGTGAGCTTCATGTTCCTCTTCTACTGGTTTGGCTTCTGGATAGACGAGTCCGAGTAGCGCCATCTCACTGCGGAGCTGAGTCCCACCTGGTTTTTAGATGTATAGTGTGAGCAGGTAGATCGCATCAGAGCGTCGCAATGTGAGAACAAACATGGTGAGTGGTGAACTTTTAAACCCTGCGCTTTCATCGGACAGTCTGAGCTGTAGCTGCGAGCAGCGATTGGAAACATCGTTTATTGTACGCCCGGCTTTAGGCGTGTTCGGTCAGGGTGGGTTCAGATACGTCCTGGTCATCAATGGAATCAGCAGGATTTATAACAAACATACAATAAGATGAATGTGTGTTTTACCCGTGCAGAGCGCTCCATGGTGTAGGCCAGACCCGAGTGGACGATGTCCTTCTCAGACGCTCCCTGTTGTCACAGAACATGTCAGCCACAGAGGTAGAGGAGGAGGAGGAAGAGCGGCTGGACTGTGGGAATACTTACCGAGATCCGAGCCTGGAACTCTGAGGTGGGAACCACCGGAATGGAGCCGCCGTGTTTTCCAAACTTCCTCTCCAGACTCTCCTGGACGGACACTGAGGAGAACGGGGGAAAGTTAGAACCAGAACCGTCAGCGGGAGGTTCTGGTCCAGGCAGCAGGGGGAGGATCCCACTCACTCAGCAGGTGGTAATTGGAGTCCCTCTCGTACTTGAAGGTGAGTCGGCCGTAGCTGACGTGGTTCAGGTTCTTCAGCCACTCAAAGTAGGACACCGTGACTCCACCGGCGTTCAGGTACATGTCCTGCAGGGGGAGAGCAGAACTTTCAGAACCAGCAGAACCGACAGCGGGTCGCAGAACGCACCGTAGTGCCCACTGACCGGGATCACCAGGACGTTCCTCTCCAAGAAGATCCGGTCGGCTTCAGGCGTGGTGGGACCGTTGGCTCCCTCTGCAATGATCTGATGGAAGCACAGACTGCAGGTGAGGTTTACCTCTCTGGACCTGCTTCCAGCCGCTAATGACCGCTACCTTGGCTTTGATCCGGTGAGCGTTGCTCTTTGTCAGCTGCTTCTCGCTGGCGGCCGGGATCAGGATGTCGCAGTCCGCCTCCAGGATGCTCCCTTCATAAGGGGTTGAGTTCGGGAAGCCAACGATGCTCCCGTTGGCCTGGAGACGGGAAGGAAACATGTTAAAAGTGCAAAAGATGTTCAGAATCAACCGAAAATCAAAAAGTTTAAAACAACTTTGGTTGAAACCAGTGTAGAACCATGGCCCTGCCTGCAGGGGGCAGCGGTTCACTGCCAAACACACCAGTTTGTATTCCTCCAGCTCCTTGGGGTCCATCCCGTTGGGGTTCCAGATGCTGCCGTCCATCTCTGCAATCCCGACACACTTGGCTCCGTAGCGGTGCAGGTAGCGCATGGTGTGGAGCCCCACGTTCCCGAAGCCCTGCAGACACAGCAGAGGGTCCCATCAGCCAGCAGCAGGACGTCTAAACCAGCTCCAGGATCAGGGTTCGAGACCAAAAGCAGGAGAGGATGGCCTTCTGTCCAGCGTTCCATACCCTGCCGTGGTTGCGGAGGACGGGGACTCACCTGGATGATGTAGGTCTTGTCCTTGAAGCCTGGACACATCCCGATCTGGCTCATGTAGGACGCCTCGTTGATGAAGTTCTCGATGCCGTGGAAGACGCCTCTTCCAGTAGCAGAGATCCGCCCGTGGATCCCTCCCTGGCTGATGGGCTTCCCAGTGACACAGGCGTGAGCGTTGATGTCCTGAGGAGGAGGAGGAGAAGGGTCCCGTTAGGCCGAGCCATCTCTGTTATTCTGACTGACAGTCATTAACCCAATCAGCTCCCTTCAGCGAACACGTTTACAGATTTAACCACACATATCCATCTGCCCTCAAATAAACCTGACTGCTTAACGTTCATAACTGTTCTACAGAGCAACAGCGCCCCCTGGTGGAGGCCCAGCTTCTGCATGTTTCCACTGACGCTCTCGTTACTGAGCCGATGCGGCTCGGTCTGCAGTAACGGTCTCTCCTGTCAGACTGACATCCTGGCTGTAATGAGGCGATGTTTACTGTCTGCTGTCACGTCGACCTTTGATCAGATGTTTTTCTGTTCCACAGGTGAAGGTTTACCCTAATGACAAACCCTGGAGAAACTGACTAGGAGAGAAACACAAATGTTTTTAACACTGTTCAGCTTCAATAGAGCTGAAGGACAGATTTCCTCTTCTTCAGCGTCTGATTTGGGTTTTAATGATCAGGACGTCAGGAAGGGCTTTAAACAAGGATCTCCATTGAAAAACTAATCAAGATATGCTTTTTCTAAAATGCCATCAGAACACTGATAATATTAAGTGTGTCTCAGCCCCAAACCATGCAAAGAGCAGTGTTGCCAACTTAGCGCTTTAGTCGCTATATTTAGCCACTTTTCAGACCCCTCTAGCACTTTGATTTCTAAAAAGCTCCTAGAGTACAAAACATAGAGAGGAAAACAAGAAGAAAAGGGACAAGAAGAGAGGGATAAAACCTAGAACAGATAATGGATGTCTATTCTATTAACATTTCTCTATCTGGAGAATGGGGCTGTTTAATGTGTCGTCTTCTCAGAGGGCCCCCTGCCTGTCTTTTCCTAGGGCCCCACATTTCCTAAATCCGCCCCTGGGTTTAGCATTCCCTGAGCAGAGAGCCAGCAGATGGAAGGAGTGGTGCTGATCTAAGCAGTGCTGATCTATGTGGCGCTGATCTATTTGGCACTAATCTAAGCGGTGCTGATCTATGCGATGCTGATCTAAGCGGTGCTGATCTATGCGATGCTGATCTATGTGGTGCTGATCTATGCGGTGCTGGTCTATGCGATGCTGATCTATGCGGTGCTGATCTATGCGATGCTGATCTAAGCGGACTGTTTAGGTCGTTGTTGTTTTGATCTGAGGGACCTGCACCGCCGTACGGAGACTGTTTGTGTTTTTCTGTTCTCCACCCGGCTGCAGGATAACTTCTCTACGGGAACGACAAACAAAGACTGACTGGATGTCTGTGGAGCGCCTTCAGGACCCGATTGGGGCGGTTCTGGGACCGGATCAGGGCTGGACGGAGGTCAGACTCACGTTGTAACCCATGGTGGTGGCGAAGGTGTCGGCGATCCAGGACATCTCGCGTTCTCCGGTGCTCATGTCTGGAGCAGGAACGTCGATGCCGGGTCCTTCAGGGCGACAGACAGAACCTTTAGAACAGAACCGTTAGAACAGAACTGGATCACCCTGACTGAAGGTCAGAGGCAGCAGGCTCAGCGCTAACGGTACCAGCTAACTCTGGGTAACCAGGTTCTACAGAACGGCGGGTCGCTTTACTCTGGACCTATCCAGAACCTCTGAACTGGTGCTGCTGCATCTCGGCGTTCAGACCCGTGGGTTCAGAACCTCCTGGGATGTTCTGGTTCTGGTCTAACAGCTTCTCCTCCAGCATGGATGCTAACTCCACAGTCTAGATCCGGGAGGACTGGGTGAATCAGAACCTTCTCCAGCTCAGAACCCAGATGGAACCACTTCAGGTCCAACCTCCTCATGTGAGATTAGGACCTGGACCATAAAGGTCCGGTTGGTCTCTGAGCTGCTGGTCAGGCAGGAACCATGTAGAACCTTTAGGTCCTCAGAGACCAGCTGGGTCTTTGTTCACAGAACCAGAACCAGAGCAGGTGAGGAAACATTTATTTCCTCAGAGCAAACTGCCTGAAGATCAGAACCGGTCGGTTCCTGAGACCACGTCTGTTTACTGCGGTTCCGGATCATCAGAACCAGAACCGATCAGAACCTGGAGGTTGACTGAATGTTTTTCTTTAGCCTTTAATGTTTACGTTGTTCTGGTGTCAGTCTGACCCGAGTAGAACCGGGCAGAACCGGGTTTTCTGAACAAACTAATCACATTTTTCCAGTTCAGTCTGTTCTGATCGGGTCCTGCTCCGGACCCGGATGCCTAGTCTGAGGGAGAACCGGATCAGTGGGGTCTGTCTTTAACTACTGTGTCCTCTGAGACCAGAACCAGCCGGCCCGGTGGGCTCACCGATGAATCCCTTCTTGGCCAGCTCGATGGTGAACCTCCTGGTGATCTTCTCCAGCTCACCGTCCTGAAAAACAGACATGAAACTCAGAGGGTGACGTGCTGCAGCGCCCCCTGCTGCCCGCCTCCACCCACTGCAGACAGCTGTTTATTCCAACCCAGAGAACCGGTCTAACCGGGTCAGAACCATGGCAGGAGCTTCTAACAAAGAGCTGGCTTTACTCAGCCGCTCCTTTATTTGGTTTGTAGGCGGCCATGTTCAGACCTCCTGTTCTAATCAGGACGGGTTCTACAGAACCAAACTGTTATAACCAGCTGTGTTCCAGAGAGTGGATCAGAACCAGACCAGATCACCCATCTACAGCCAGCAGTGGCAGGAATCTAAGCAGAACCTGAGGTCCAGTTCTTCTCACGACCAGTAGGTAGATCTGGTTCTGATGTTCTGACCCAAACATCTGAGCTGCCGGTTGTTCTGGGGCTTTCTGAGCTCCTTTCATTGGTTCTGGTCCAGATTTGGGTCCAGTTGTTTTTTCAGAACCAATTCAGGATCCAGAGTTCCTTCGGCAGGTAGGTCCACTCTGACCGGTACCAGCCAGGTTCTGTTGGGCCCGTTTTCGCAGCAGCTTACGGTGTAGTTCTTAGTGTTGATCTTGACTCCGGCCTTGGCTCCTCCGAACGGAACATCTGGAACAGCAGGTTCTGGTTAGAGTCAGGAAGCGGGTCACGGGTCGTGTTCTGTGTGTGCGATACTGACCCACGATGGCGCATTTATAGGTCATCAGGGAGGCCAGCGCTTTGACTTCGTCCACGGAGACGTCGGTGCTGTACCGGATCCCTGAAACACAGAACCAGCAGCTTCAGCAGCCAGAACCAAAGCCCAGAACCGGTCCGAGGCGGTTCTGATTAATGATCCTGGGCCAGGACCAAAGGTCCGCCTCAACAGAACAGATCTGAGTTAAATAGATTGGCTTTGATTGTTCCACTGTCCTTAAAAAAATGAGAAAATGAAGAATTTCTAAAGAATAAAATAAAAACAGAACCTTTCAGTCCAATCAAACCCGTTTGATACCAGAGCAGCTTCTGATACCATCGGATCTATAAATGGTATCGGATCTATACTGCGTCTCTACACAGATATTCACCTCAGTCTAAAGGATCTGGAAGAATCACAGACTTTCAAATCTATTAAATCCAACATTTATTCTACATTAAAATATGAAAAGGAATCGGAAAGAACTACGGATTCTAGATCTAGATTTAAGATGAACAGAGCGAGCTGCTTCAGCAGAACCTGCACCTGACTGGTCGTCTGTCGTTTTATACAAATCAGACCAAAACAGAATAAAAACAGTGAAAAAAATAGAAGTAAAAAGTAAAGGAAAAATAAAAAGCAGATTAACTTTTCAGATTAAAAACAAAGAAGAGGAAATTCCAGGCTGACCAATAGGAAGTAGTTTTATTTTGAAAATCCTCCCCAGTTTCTGCTGAACTTCAAATTTCAACTTCTATTTTTTCAGTGTTTGATCCACAGGAACCAGAACCAGAACCAGTCCTGCTCTGCTCTCCATGGAGCCTAACCGAATCGGACCTCTAGGTCCGGTCAGAACCAGAAGGTCCGTTTGGATTTGGTTCAATGAATAAAGGAAAAACTGAACCAGAGGTGCTGCTGCCTGCCGTCCCGGTAGAACCAGTGGGACCGGTTTGATCCGAGCCCAGCAGCCGACCCAGACCGGTTCTGATCCGGCTGGGAAATCAATAGCAGCTCAGGTCCAAACTCGTGTTCAGGGTTAAAGTGGGCCACCTGGAGTTCTGACGGGTTCTGAGACGGCAGCTTCAGCTCAGATCAACCCATTTTCCAGGGGGTTCTGGTGCTGCGGGTCAGCTTCTGCGACACCTTCTGGTTCTGATCCGGTCCCAGTAGGACCGGTTCTGCTGACCGACTGAACCTGACTTCATCCAGACGGTCCGACTGACGGAACACAAACCTGTTCTACACCCAGAACCAGACCCTACCAGAACCCAAATGCCTTCTGAGCCGCAGTAGAACCCGGAACCAAACCGGACCTCCTCCTGCCGGGAGGCCGACCCGGTTTCTGCTGACAAACTGGACCAGATCTGAGCAGCAGAACCAAGAAACCTGAACAGAACCGTTCTAATGAACAGAACCCCAGGATGTTCAGAAGAGCCGGACCAGAACATGGAGAATGTCAGCATTCCTGACCGGTACCAGAACCACGAAGGTGCCACAGAACCCTGAGCCCAGTCAGAACAGAACCTCAGTCTGCTGAGACCATCAGAACCAGAGATTATGCTGCTGGTTCTGAAAAACCAGAACCATAGCAGAATCCTGAAAACCCAAATGTTTTCACCAAGAACCGGTTCTGGGTTCTAAAGCTGAACGATAACCACCAAACTTTCCTTTTTTATCAGTTTATGCGGTTCTGATCCGGATCCACAGATCAACAGAACCAAACTGTTCTGCCTGGGCCCGGTTTGTGGGTCCAATCCGTTATCAGAAACCTTCTGGTTTCTGTTTCCTTCGGCTCCATGGAAGAACCGTTACTACGGGTCCAACAGAACCGGTCCAGCATGGAAACACTGGGGTCCAGAACTCCACCAGAACAGTTCTACTCCAGCCCTCAGAACCAAGGATTGGGTTCTCTGCAGAACCACTGAAACCGGGTCACAGACTGTCATCATAACAAACACATTTAGGAGGTAAATAAACCCATCAGAACCCATCAGAACCGAGCCTCTATAGATGCTGTGATCCATGGAGCAGGTCGGTTCTGATCCATAATCAGTGGGTCAGTCCATAGAACCAGGAACCAGATCCAGATCTGATCCATTAAGAAGCAACAGAATAAAAAAATTAAAAAAAAACTAAAGAAAATCGGTTTTTAATCTTTATGCTGTTTTTAGGAGACAATAAAAATCCAGTATGGAGGAAAATGAGTTTGATTTATCCTGTTTAAACTGTTTATTAAACACCTTTAAATCTGATTAAATCTGTGCTGCTGAGGGGCTGACTGGGTTCGGGTCTGACCTCCCTACTGGGTTCGGTTGGGTTCGGGTCTCACCTCCCTTGCAGGGAGTGCGGTGCTGGCTGTGCTGCGCCCGGTACGCCTCTATCACCTCCCACTCGCCGCTGTCTCTGCGGATCGGGAAGCTGAGGCTCAGGACGTGGTTACAGGGCTTGATGATCCGCAGGATCCCGCGGACCCGCTTCCTCTTCTGCTCCGGACTCTCCCGGGTCCTCAGGTCATCCACCAGCTTGTCCTCCACGATACCGGCTCCGCGGTCGAAGAACCCCTCCACCATGGTGAAAAAGTTCGGGTCGTCGCTCGGGTCCACCGCCTGGCTGTAGCCTCGGTGCCGCAGCAGGGAGGAGGCCGGGAGGAGCGTGTCCGCGGCGGGGTAAAGACCCCCCGCTCCCCGGGTCAGCAGTCCTCCGAGGTACCTGTACATGTTGCGGGAGGGAAGGAGGTCCAGGAAGTGGGGCGGCAGGAGGTGCAGGTCTGCCCCAGCCGAGCAGCCGCTCCTCCCCCCAGCCGCCCTTTCCTGTAGCCGCCGCTGCGTGATAGGACAGGCTCGCGCTGCTCATCAAAGCGACCTGCAGGGAGCGGCGCGCGGCGGCGGCAGCTAGCCGTTAGCTTAGCTCCACATTAGGCCGGAAGAGCCGCGGAACTGATAATAATACCGCATTAAACCGTCATTTAATCACACAGACAGAAAAGAGCGGCCTGAGAGGAAACTTTAACGAACTTTAAAGGTTTAATTCAACTTTTCAAACAACGTAAAACAGCGAAAAAGCAGTTGCTGCGTACTTCCGGTAACATTTCAAAATAAGTGCTCATAAATTAGTAGAAACTGTTAATAACCGCAAAACGGATGTTAATGTTCTTAGCGGTAGTTACTGAAGTAAAAACTGAGAACTTGAGCATCAAACCTATAAATTATATTTGGTCTAGTTTTTATCCAGTGGTGGACCGGATGGCTCTTTACACAGGGCGGCACTGGTCTGAGGTCAACCCAGCAATAACCCAGTTTTTACTGAATTCACAGTTTCTACTAATGTCATCTATAGCACGTGTCTCTTATGGCAGCTGCAGGGCGCCGCCGTGCAGAGGTGGGTCTAGATGGACTCTATGGAGGGCAGGAATAACAAACACATGCAATAAAATATTGTTTACTATCTAACTGGAACCCAGAGGCCAAGCTTGCAGACTCCTGATCTAACAGATTAGAAGAAGAACTGTAACTCTTAATACGGCTGAAGCTTAAAGCTGACTGTAATTTATAAAGAATTGTTGATGTAAATCATAAAGAGGAAATATTACTTTATTTCATGGGATGAATCAGCAAAAACTGATCATCTGAGCTGATAAAAACAAGTAAAAATGTCCTGAAATAAATGGATTAATAAGAATTAGATCTATGCAGATGAAATAAGATGATGAAGTTGTATTTTTTTCTTATTTTGATTCTGTTCCTGATTGCAGCACCAGGTACCCAGGATGCAAAGTGACATCTGTGGACATTTCCCTTTGTTTATTTGCATCTTCCCTCCTGCGTTGGATGACGCTGCGCTGTGGATGGTTACCATGGACGCCTGATAGGTGAGGATGGTTTCTGATTGGCTGATTCTGATTCAGTGCTGCAATAAAGGAAAACTGGTTTTCAGCATCTGATCGTCTCAAACTCAAACTCTGGGGTTTTTATCTGTGAGTGAAAATACCAAATTATAATTTCAATGTGCCCTGTGTCAGACTGGCCACCTGTCCAGGCTGGACCCGGCCTCTCACCCATAGACTGACGGATATAGACACCGTCCACCGCCGCCCTGAGGGAAGACAGAGAAGATGGAGGGATTTTTTAATGCTGGTGAATTTGGTCCTTGGTTGGTCCTTTGCTGGTCCTTGGTTGGTCCTTGGCTGGTCCTTGGTTGGTCCTTGGCTGGTCCTTGGCTGGTCCTTAGTTGGTCCTTGGTTGGTCCTTGGTTGGTCCTTAGTTGGACCTTAGTTGGTTCTTGGTTGATCTTTGGCTGGTCCTTGGTTGGTCCTTGCTGGTCCTTGGTTGGTCCTTGGCTGGTCCTTGGTTGGTCCTTGGCTGGTCCTTGGTTGGTCCTTGGCTGGTCCTTGGTTGGTCCTTGCTGGTCCTTGGCTGGTCCTTGGTTGGTCCTTGGTTGGTCCTTGGCTGGTCCTTGGCTGGTCCTTGGTTGGTCCTTGGTTGGTCCTTGGCTGGTCCTTGGTTGGTCCTTGGCTAGTCTCTGGTTGGTCCTTGGCTGGTCCTTGGTTGGTCCTTGCTGGTCCTTGGTTGGTCCTTGGCTGGTCCTTGGTTGGTCCTTGCTGGTCCTTGGTTGGTCCTTGGCTGGTCCTTGGTTGGTCCGTGCTGGTCCTTGGTTGGTCCTTGGTTGGTCCTTGCTGGTCCTTGCTGGGTCCTTGGTTGGTGCTTGGTTGGTCCTTGCCTGGCCTTGCTGGTCCTTAGCTGGCCCTTGGTTGGTCCTTGGCTGGTCCTTGGCTGGTCCTTGGTTGGTCCTTGGCTGGTCCTTGGCTGGTCCTTGGTTGGTCCTTGGCTGGCCCTTGGTTGGTCCTTGGCTGGTCCTTGGCTGGTCCTTGGTTGGTCCTTGGTTGGTCCTTGCTGGTCCTTGGTTGGTCCTTGGCTGGTCCTTGGTTGGTCCTTGGCTGGTCCTTGGTTGGTCCTTGGCTGGTCCTTGGCTAGTCCTTGTTTGTTTCTTGGCTGGTCCTTGGTTGGTCCTTGCTGGTCCTTGGTTGGTCCTTGGCTGGTCCTTGGTTGGTCCTTGGCTAGTCCTTGGTTGGTCCTTGGCTGGTCCTTGGTTGGTCCTTGCTGGTCCTTGGTTGGTCCTTGGCTGGTCCTTGGTTGGTCCGTGCTGGTCCTTGGTTGGTCCTTGGTTGGTCCTTGCTGGTCCTTGCTGGGTCCTTGGTGGATCCTTGGTTGGTCCTTGGCTGGCCCTTGGTTGGTCCTTGTCTGGCCCTTGCTGGTCCTTGTTTGGTACTTGGTTGGTCCTTGGTTGGTCCTTGGCTGGCCCTTGCTGGTCCTTGTTTGGTCCTTGGTTGGTCCTTAGCTGGCCCTTGCTGGCCCTTGGTTGGTCCTTGGCTGGCCTTGCTGGTCCTTAGCTGGCCCTTGCTGGTCCTTGGCTGGTCCTTGGTTGGTCCTTGGCTGGCCCTTGGTTGGTCCTTGTCTGGCCCTTGCTGGTCCTTGTTTGGTACTTGGTTGGTCCTTGGTTGGTCCTTGGCTGGCCCTTGCTGGTCCTTGTTTGGTCCTTGGTTGGTCCTTAGCTGGCCCTTGCTGGCCCTTGGTTGGTCCTTGGTTGGTGCTTGGTTGGTCCTTGGTTGGTCCTTGGCTGGCCCTTGCTGGTCCTTGTTTGGTCCTTGTTTGGTCCTTGGTTGGTCCTTAGCTGGCCCTTGCTGGCCCTTGGTTGGTCCTTGGTTGGTGCTTGGTTGGTCCTTGGTTGGTCCTTGGCTGGCCCTTGCTGGTCCTTGTTTGGTCCTTGGTTGGTCATTAGCTGGCCCTTGGTTGGTCCTTAGTTTGTCCTTGTTGGTGCTTGGTTGGTGCTTGGTTGGTCCTTGGCTGGTCCTTGCTGGTCCTTGCTGGTCCTTAATTGGTCCTTGGTTGGTCCTTGGCTGGTCCTTGGCTGGTCTTTGGTTGGTCCTTGGCTGGTCCTTGGTTGGTCCTTGGTTGGTCCTTGGTTGGTCCTTGGCTGGTCCTTGGCTGGTCCTTGGTTGGTCCTTGGCTGGTCCTTGGCTGGTCCTTGGTTGGTCCTTGGCTGGTCTTCATCTAATCCTTCAACTTGTATGTTAGATCCAGTTCCAACCAGGTTATTTAAGGAGGTATTCCCTTTGATCTCCTCCTCCATTTTAGATGTGATTAATCTATCTCTGTTACAGGGATATGTACCTAAAGCTTTTAAGGTTGCTGTAATTAAACCTCTGCTTAAGAAACCATCTCTTGACCCAGATGACTTGGTCAATTATAGACCTATATCCAATCTTCCTTTCTTATCCAAAATTCTTGAGAAAGTAGTTGCCAAACAAGTTTGCGATCACTTCCACCATAATGAACTTTTTGAAGAGTTTCAGTCTGGCTTTAGAGCTCATCATAGCACTGAAACAGCTCTGGTGAAAGTCACTAATGATATTCTCATGGCCTCAGATAATGGACTTGTATCTGTGCTCGTCCTGTTGGATCTTAGTGCTGCATTTGATACAGTTGACCATAATATTCTTTTAGAAAGACTTGAATATTTTGTTGGAATTAAAGGAACAGCACTAGACTGGTTTAAATCTGATCTATCTGATCGAATTCAGTTTGTTCATGTTAATGATAGATCTTGGACTCCGTAATTTTCTCTGGTCCCCTCCCTGATCTGACCAGTGATGACATGTTTAGCCGCATGTCGTCATTCAATCGCTGGTTGTCTAGGTGGTGCCCTGAAAACAACGTGGGCTACATTAATAATTGGCAATCCTTTTGGGGAAAGCCTGGTCTGATTCGGAGAGACGGCATCCATCCCACTTTGGATGGTGCAGCTCTTCTTTCTAGGAATCTGGCCACATTTATTAGTCCTCCAAAACCCTGACCACCCAGGGTGCAGACCAGGAAGCAGAGTTGTAGTTTAACACACATCTCTGCAGCTTCTCTACTGTTACCCACTCTTTACTCCATCCAGACAGTGTCTTGCCCACGACCAAAATCTAATAAATTAGCAAAGATTCCCAAAGGAGTAAATCATGATAATCTAATTAAAATCAAAATAACTCCAATTGGGGAAAAAGTTAAAACAATTAAATGCGGTCTGTTTAACATAAGATCGCTTTCCTCTAAAAGTCTACTAGTTAATGACTTGATTTGTGATAATCACATTGACTTGTTTTGCCTTACAGAAACCTGGCTGCAGCAAGAGGATTATGTGAGCATAAATGAGGCAACTCCTTCAAGCTATTTAAATTTTCACATCCCCAGAAGTTCTGGGCGAGGAGGAGGAGTAGCAACAATCTTCGAGTCTGACTTACTGATTACTCCCAAAACAATTAATTCCTACAACTCTTTTGAACATTTAACCCTTAATTTCCCTGATCCAAATTTCAAGGCAAGAAAACCTCTTCTTTTTGTAACTTTGTATCGTCCACCAGGTCCTTACTCTGAATTTTTAGATGAGTTTTCAGAGTTCCTTTCTGATTTGGTATTAAATACTGACAGGGTCATCATAGTGGGAGATTTTAACATCCATGCTGACATTGAAGGCGATAGCTTAAGAGCAGCCTTTAATGCTATCTTAGACACTATTGGCTTTGTTCAAAATGTGAATAGTCCCACGCATTCTCATCTTCATACTTTGGATCTTGTGCTGACATACGGCATAGAATGTGAAGAAATAACAGTATTTCCTCACAACCCTGTCCTCTCTGACCACTTTCTAATAACCTTCAGGATTACTTTAACAGAGT